CCCTAACCTTAACCATCTTACTCAGACCACCTTAACCCTAACCTTAACCATCTTACTCAGACCCACCTTAACCCTAACCTTAACCATCTTACTCAGACCACCTTAACCCTAACCCTAACCATCTTACTCAGACCACCTTAACCCTAACCTTCACCATCTTACTCAGACCACCTTAACCCTAACCTTAACCATCTTACTCAGACCACCTTAACCCTAACCTTTACCATCTTACTCAGACCACCTTAACCCTAACCTTAACTATCTTACTCAGACCACCTTAACCATCTTACTCAGACCACCTTAACCCTAACCTTAACCATCTTACTCAGACCACCTTAACCCTAACCATCTTACTCAGACCACCTTAACCCTAACCATAACCATCTTACTCAGACCACCTTAACCCTAACCTTTACCATCTTACTCAGACCGCCTTAACCCTAACCTTAACCATCTTACTCAGACCACCTTAACCCTAACCTTAACTATCTTACTCAGACCACCTTAACCCTAACCTTAACTATCTTACTCAGACCACCTTAACCCTAACCTTAACTATCTTACTCAGACCGCCTTAACCCTAACCTTAACCATCTTACTCAGACCACCTTAACCCTAACCTTAACCATCTTACTCAGACCACCTTAACCCTAACCTTAACCATCTTACTCAGACCACCTTAACCCTAACCTTTACCATCTTACTCAGACCACCTTAACCCTAACCTTAACTATCTTACTCAGACACCTAAAACTTAACCAGTCACCACTTAAGGACTTATTAGACTAAAACTAATTTGAAAGTAGGATTGTTACTTCCGCTTTCATCCCGATTCCGTATAATCTAGTGTCGGCCGAAGCACAAGGGGACAGTCATAATGGCATATTTGACAAAACAATGAAAACTCTGCAGGGCGTGGACTCCCAAACACAAGTGTAACTTTGAGCACGCTCCTGAACAAACACATGTGTAAATGTATCCACCATTGCATTCTTGATTCAACAGCTCTGGATTATTTACACATGTGTCCTGCCAAACTGTCCGAGCAGAGCCATAGCATTTCCATGGAGAGAATCACACACTTTTCACAACAGTAGAAGAACAAACACGGCGCTCCTCTGTCAGAGCGGCCTGTGACCAGCGGGGTCCTGACAGAAGGTTCCGGGCCTGGTCCAGACTCCGCTGTGGAGAGAGGACTGCAGACGTGTAGAGGAGGTGTCCGGGGAGAGGACAGGAAACAGTCCAGACTCACGTGACACTGGGGCCTTTTGCTATCGACGCATTCGCATAAATCTATCCACACGCAGCACGCAGCCGTCTGAGCATTTCCATACTGTCTGTTGTTTTACACTTGCCGGGCGCGAGTCCAGAGCAGATGGCAAACTGACTTTACGTGAACCTTCAGTGATGAATATGCGCAGAGATAGTCCACAGCCGCCGGAAGAAGTTAAAGGAGACATATGATGAGTTTAGAGTTTGAAACTAATGGTTTTTGTGATACAAAACGGTTGAAAATGTCTAATATATTTCCAGAAAGTTTCCTGTAATATTTCATGGGAGGTTGCGCAGGGAATATTCCATAGCTGGGAACTAATAGTAACGTCATGAAATTGTATCATATCATAATATAAACAGAAGTCATAAGGAAACACTCCATTTTCTTCCCCTTAATCCATTTCTGGGTCGCAAGTGGCAGTCAGAGAGCCCCTCACTGATCCTCTGCAGGTGCTGAGTCCACAGGAGGCTGCTCTAGTCTGAGCTGCCTTGATTTTTCAGCGGGGGCTTCAGGCAACGTGGGGTAAAGTGTCTTGCTCATGAACACAACTTGAGCAATGCACACATTTGAGCCTGTGGAGTAAACAGCTTAAACGTGTCTCTATTCTTCTAGAAATCTCCTGTGAATTTGAATAATATCTGCTTGTTTTATTATCCTTAGTATTAAAATGTACAAGTTGCCTATGAAGCAGCAACAATCGATTAAGAAAAAAATCCAATTGATTCTTGTTAATTCCTATAAATTTATGTTAATTACTTTAAATTCCCATTAATTCCCATCTTTGAAAATTATCAGAATTTTGCAACCCTAAACACGTCCCCCTGGCCCTTCTGTCAAAATGCTCTGATCTCAAATTAAACTTTTTTTACATCATGGATAGAGCAGTTTTCCTACTGTCAAACCAAAGTCTTGGCTCTGAATTATTTTTGAGGAATATGCAGTCGCATGTATCAGTACGTGTTAGCATGTACGTGTTAGCATCATGAAACAAAGTGACTCTGTAAAGTAGACAAACACAACAACACATCAGAGTGTTCCAACATCATACATGTGGCTACGGCAGGTTTGGCGCAGACCGTTCCACACATTCTTGCGTCGCGGTGTTTATTTGAGGGAGCTTAGCCTCTTAGCGCGCGGCCACACGGTTATGGCAGAGCTAAGCCTCAGTGTGAGTGTCCCAGCTCTGCTTTCACACATTCCTGACCAGAGTGCACATGAAGGCGATGGCCACTGACCGGTTTGAGCCGTGCACTTATGGCAACATTAGAGTTCACCGTGAGCCGCTGTAGGGTGCACTCAGGTTAAACAAAACAAAAACAGATCTAAACTCGGGCCAAGCTTTGTTTTGCTAAATATCAGGTTTCACGCAGGAACATGAGCAGTTTCTGGGATCCAAACACCTCCCTCTGATGATGAGAGACATTTCTGCAGCACTTTCACTAAAGCGGAGTGTAGGTCACAAATATCACTGATGATTTATATTTTGGTCCTTAATCATGAACCTTCTGTGGTTCTTCATGTAGAAATATGAATCTGAACAATAGCTCCTGGAAGGTTCCTCAAAGGTAAGATTAAAAAAACCTTTAATCGTCCCACAGTGGGGAAATTTCAATGTTGCAGCACAATGGCAGGACAGTAGTAAGAGCTAAACTGAATCCAATAGTATTTTTACATCTGTTACATTTGCAGCATTAGCGCACACGATTTAGAGGTCGTTTACACGGAAGACGCTGCAACAGTTAAACGATTGGTATCGGTTTGGCCTTTTGTTTACATGAAGACAGTGTTTCAGGTGAAAATGCAAGTGTTGAGAAAGAAGCCTCTAGAGTGGATCAGAACCAGTGTGAAGAAAAAGGTGTGAATTCTCTGGTTCTTGTGTAGAACCATCAGTGGTTCTACGTCTGCGGCGGCGCTTGCTCACGTTGCTTTCGTGGTCGTGCACAAAGGGACATGTCAGATTTGTAGACTTTCCAATTGGATATGTCTTATTACGATCCCAACCGGGAGAATGACATCACATTATTCCATAGATATAAATTAAGGCCCAGAAGAAACAGAGCTGCTGCCATCATCACAGCTGCAGGTCTGAGGAAAGAAGAACTGCAGCAGAATATCCTCCTATGCATTAAAGACCCGTAGAGACTTGTGAATCCAGCCACAGCGTTTGTTTGACATTCTGTAAAAACATAGTCGATTGGAGGGGGAGGGGCAAACTCACAAATTCGTCACGCTCCAAAGCAATCAGCAAAAACGACCAGGCCTCTCTCTGGTCTCTCTCTGGTCTCTCTCTGATCTCTCTCTGGCCTCTCTCTGATCTCTCTCTGGTCTCTCTCTGGCCTCTCTCTGGTCTCTCTCTGGCCTCTCTCTGGTCTCTCTCTGGTCTCTCTCTGGTCTCTCTCTGGCCTCTCTCTGGTCTCTCTCTGGTCTCTCTCTGGTCTCTCTCTGGTCTCTCTCTGGTCTCTCTCTGGTCTCTCTCTGGTCTCTCTCTGGTCTCTCTCTGGCCTCTCTCTGGTCTCTCTGGTCTCTCTCTGGTCTCTCTCTGGTCTCTCTCTGGCCTCTCTCTGGTCTCTCTCTGGTCTCTCTCTGGCCTCTCTCTGATCTCTCTCTGGTCTCTCTCTGGTCTCTCTCTGGCCTCTCTCTGGTCTCTCTCTGGTCTCTCTCTGGTCTCTCTCTGGTCTCTCTCTGGTCTCTCTCTCTGGTCTCTCTCTGGTCTCTCTCTGGCCTCTCTCTGGTCTCTCTCTGGTCTCTCTCTGGTCTCTCTCTGGTCTCTCTCTGGCCTCTCTCTGGTCTCTCTCTGGTCTCTCTCTCTGGTCTCTCTCTGGTCTCTCTCTGGTCTCTCTCTGGCCTCTCTCTGGTCTCTCTCTGGTCTCTCTCTGGTCTCTCTCTGGTCTCTCTCTGGCCTCTCTCTGGTCTCTCTCTGGTCTCTCTCTCTGGTCTCTCTCTGGTCTCTCTCTGGTCTCTCTCTGGTCTCTCTCGCTGGTCTCTCTCTCTGGTTTCTCTTTGTCGGTAAAAAGAGGTCGCGAGGCGGGTTGGATGCCGGTCGCTCTGACACACCAGCCCGTGTCCTCAGTGTGAATGAGGCTTTAGATCCGGGAGGTCCTGCTTTGGTCCAGACCGGTTCTTACCTTGCACCCACAGATTGACGTCTTTGCTGCGCAGACCGATGTCGTTGATGACCTCACAGCGGTAAACGCCCGAGTCGTTCTTCTCCAGCGCTCGCGTGAACACAAACGTGCTGTTGAGGACGCGCACTCCGTCTGGCATCACCCCGTCCAACCTGCCACACACACACACACACACACACACACACACACACACACACACACACACACACACACACACACACACACACACACAAAGAGCACAGTGAGTTGCAGCAAATATATTCAAAGTATTCTTTTGAACCACCTCAATTTCAAACTCATCATCAGTCATTCAAGTCCTTCAAAATTCCTTCAAAATTGTATAATGTTTTTTTAATAATTTGTTTCATTGCTGTTTTTTATCAATTTATTATGAATTGACAAATGTTCACAATTTTTTTCTGTTAATGTCATCCATGGTATAATTAATTCATCGTTTTTTTTTTTTTTTTTTTAATATAGTGCTTTCTGGACACTCAAAGACGCTTCACATGTGTCATTATTCAATCACTCCATACACAGTGGTGATAAACTACTACTGTAGCCACAGCTGCCCTGGGGCACACTGACAGAAGCGAGGCAACCAGTCTGTGCCATCGGCCCCTCCCACCACCACCAACCACTCACACACACACCAGACTCATTCTAGGCAATGGGGGTGAAGTGTCTTGCCAAAGGACACAACGGCAGTTTGACACTTTACAGCCACAGCCGCCCCACTGTGGCACCTGCTGTTCCCAGAGGTTAAGTGTCTTGCCCAAGGACACAACGACAGCAGACATCAGTGGGAGTTGATAGTGAAAGTCTTGAGGTGGGCTCGAACCCACGACCTTCTGGCTCAAAGCCCAATGATCTACCAACCCAATATCTCAATCGTTTCTTTTTTATTGACGTATTTGTTTGCACCATTTTAAGGAAACAACTTCTTTCTCCACTGTTTCAGACATAAAAATACCTTAAGGTTTCACACACACACACACACACACACACACACACACACACACACACACACACACACACACACACTCACAGACACACTGACACACACACGCACACACACACACCCTATGAATGTTGGAGGTTACTTTCCATCGCAGGTATCAAACACAACACCCTTTTTTGTGTCCCCTGAAATGACTTTAAATTATTATAATAACATTTACCATTGATGTTAAGAGAAAACTGGCATCATGTGATTTAATCTATTCTAAAAAAGATAAAATATTATGTCCCCAGTTTATGTTTAGAACGAAAATGACGCCCTCTTCTGAGATTCAGGAATGTTTTTGTTTTGTCCCAGAGCGATGAATCAAAGTAGCGACATGTCCGTTCTACAGTATTATACTTTTGGTGATTTAAAAGATGGAATATGTGGCTTTGGTTCCTGCTGTGACTGACGAGACGTGTGGGTGTGGAGGGTACAAACCGGATCCAGGTGAAGGAGCGGGCGGCGGGGTTGGCTTTGGCCCCACACTCAAACTTCACATTGTCCTGTCCCACGTACCAGTTCTGACCCACGCCCTCGATCGACACGACTGGTGCAACTGCAACAAGACACACACACACACAGACACACATCCATTAGATCTCTATGGAAACACAATACTTCAGAGAATACAGGATCTTATTGAAGTTAAATGTGAGACAGATTAGGCCGTGGCGATCACATAAGCTTCACATTAAAAGGTAAGGAAAGAACCGCCCTCTCCACTTTTTGAACTAAACTCTCTGATCTTATTGATTGACATTTGGGAGGACCAATAATCTTGATGATCCCAGAAGTAGAAAATCGTCCTCTACTGTATACCTTTAAGTATAAGACAGAGCCGTCAGTGCGACATGGTCAATCTGAGGGTCATGTTGTTATCTTTAGAATGCACTGGAAACGGCAGAAAGTCAGAAGAGTGTTCATGGTTTGACACTGATCCAGACCAGAGCAGAGACGATGGCTCTAACCAAACAGATCAAGCAGAAATCCACTGTAGGAATTCTGACATTTATGAAAAATGCTAATAAAACATTCAACATTTCACTCTGAACCAGAGCAGAGAAAAAGTTCAGAACAGACTCTGAGTTCATCAACCAGAGGAGGCAGCTCATCACCAGCGGCTGCAACACCTGCTGCTGCAACACCTGCTGCTGCTGCTGCTGCTGTGTTGTTAGTGACTTTTAGATGTATGTATGTGTTTGTTTGGATGGATGTGTTTCTGCTGCTGGACACTTGCATTTCTCCTACAGGGATCAATAAAGTATCTATCAATCGGCCGACCTATCTATCTATCTATCTTTCAACGGTATCTATCTATCTATCTATCTATCTATCTATCTACTGTATCTATCAACGGTATCTATCTATCTATCTATCTACTGTATCTATCAACGGTATCTATCAATCTATCTATCAACGGCATCTATCTATCTATCTATCTATCTACTTATCTATCTATCTATGTCCTTATATGGTCACACAAAGTCATGTCCTTATATGGTCACACAAAGTCATGTCCTTATATGGTCACACAGAGTCATGTCCTTATATGGTCCTTATAGATTGACACTTATAAAGTGAGTGAGACAGTTCCTCCTCTTCTCACAGGTGGCTGTACAGAGATAATGTGCTCTATGCAGAGGTCCTGAAACCTGGGATATATCAACCCCAGAGTGAGCCCGACAGCCATACACACAAGTTTAGCAGGAGTTTCCCGCCCTCTTCAATAAACGATTCCCCAGAGCTCACAACGACAGCTTCACTTTTAGCTTCATTTCTCTGCTTCCACAAAAATGCCTTAAATGACAACGAACCTACTTCTGATCCATTTGCTTTGCAGCTAGTTCTATCTCACACTTTTTCAGATGCGGGTGCCAGATCCAAAAGTGGTTGTGTGATTAATGGACCTGCAGAGCCTCGGCCTGCATGCACAAAGCTGCTCCTGTCCTGAGCATTGTGTCCCTGCTTAAACCTAATCCATATTTCATAAACGTCTTGACCAGCCCTGTGTCCAAACAGACTTCCTCTCAGCCAAAGATGGACTGGGCGTGAGCTACAGCCCCGCACCAGGATTATGAGGCTCCAACTCTACTTCCATGATCACAGGTCATGTTTAATGTGGCTTCACAGCAGTAATGACATAATAAGACACTCTGCCAGGATCTGAGGTGTCTGTTCCCTCCACTGCTGGTCTCTCTCTCTGGTCTCTCTCTGGTCTCTCTCTCTGGTCTCTCTCTGGTCTCTCTCTCTGGCCTCTCTCTGGTCTCTCTCTGGTCTCTCTCTGGTCTCTCTCTGGCCTCTCTCTCTGGCCTCTCTCTCTGGTCTCTCTCGCTGGCCTCTCTCTCTGCCTCTCTCTGGTCTCTCTCTGGTCTCTATCTGGTCTCTCTCTCTGGCCTCTCTCTCTGGTCTCTCTCTGGTCTCTCTCTCTGCCTCTCTCTGGTCTCTCTCTCTTGTCTCTCTCTGGTCTCTCTCTCTGGTCTCTCTCTCTGGTCTCTCTCTGGTCTCTCTCTCTGGTCTCTCTCTGGTCTCTCTCTCTTGTCTCTCTCTCTGGTCTCTCTCTCTGGTCTCTCTCTCTGGTCTCTCTCTCTGGTCTCTCTCTCTGCCTCTCTCTGGTCTCTCTCTCTGGTCTCTCTCTCTGGTCTCTCTCTCTGGTCTCTCTCTCTGGCCTCTCTCTGGCCTCTCTCTCTGCTCTCTCTCTGGTCTCTCTCTCTGGTCTCTCTCTGGTCTCTCTCTGGTCTCTCTCTCTGGTCTCTCTCTCTTGTCTCTCTCTCTGGTCTCTCTCTCTGGTCTCTCTCTCTGGTCTCGCTCTCTGGTCTCGCTCTCTGGTCTCTCTCTCTGGCCTCTCTCTCTTGGCCTCTCTCTCTGGTCTCTCTCTAGTCTCTCTCTGCCTCTCTCTGGTCTCTCTCTCTGGTCTCTCTCTCTGGTCTCTCTCTCTGGCCTCTCTCTCTGGCCTCTCTCTCTGCCTCTCTCTGGTCTCTCTCTGGTCTCTCTCTCTGGTCTCTCTCTCTGGCCTCTCTCTCTGCCTCTCTCTGGTCTCTCTCTGGTCTCTCTCTCTGGTCTCTCTCTGGTCTCTCTCTCTGGCCTCTCTCTCTGGTCTCTCTCTCTCTGGTCTCTCTCTCTGGTCTCTCTCTCTGGCCTCTCTCTCTGGCCTCTCTCTCTGGTCTCTCTCTCTGGTCTCACTCTCTGGTCTCTCTCTCTGGTCTCTCTCTCTGGTCTCTCTCTCTGGTCTCACTCTCTGGTCTCTCTCTCTGGTCTCTCTCTCTGGTCTCTCTCTCTGGCCTCTCTCTCTGGCCTCTCTCTCTGGCCTCTCTCTCTGCCTCTCTCTGGTCTCTCTCTGGTCTCTCTCTCTGGTCTCTCTCTCTGGTCTCTCTCTCTGGTCTCTCTCTCTGGCCTCTCTCTCTGGTCTCTCTCTGGTCTCTCTCTCTGGTCTCTCTCTGGTCTCTCTCTCTGGTCTCTCTCTCTGGTCTCTCTCTGGCCTCTCTCTCTGGCCTCTCTCTCTGCCTCTCTCTGGTCTCTCTCTCTGGCCTCTCTCTCTGGCCTCTCTCTCTGGTCTCTCTCTGGTCTCTCTCTGGCCTCTCTCTCTGGTCTCTCTCTCTGGTCTCTCTCTCTAGTCTCTCTCTGGCCTCTCTCTCTGGCCTCTCTCTGGTCTCTCTCTCTGGTCTCTCTCTGGCCTCTCTCTCTGGTCTCTCTCTCTGGTCTCTCTCTGGTCTCTCTCTCTAGTCTCTCTCTGGTCTCTCTCTCTGGTCTCTCTCTGGTCTCTCTCTGGCCTCTCTCTCTGGTCTCTCTCTCTGGTCTCTCTCTCTAGTCTCTCTCTGGCCTCTCTCTCTGGCCTCTCTCTCTGGTCTCTCTCTCTGGCATCTCTCTCAGTCTCTCTCTGGCCTCTCTCTCTGGTCTCTCTCTCTGGTCTCTCTCTCTAGTCTCTCTCTGGCCTCTCTCTCTGGTCTCTCTCTCTGGTCTCTCTCTCTAGTCTCTCTCTGCCTCTCTCTGGCCTCTCTCTGGTCTCTCTCTGGCCTCTCTCTGGTCTCTCTCTCTGGTCTCAGACAAAAAGTGAATGTTGTTTGGAATGACAATAATGTGTTCAGCAGCAGTAACAGCAGCAGCAGCAGCAGTAACTGCAGCAGCAGCAGCAGCAGCAGCAGCAGCAGCAGCAGTAACAGCAGTAGCAGCAGCAACAACAACAGCAGTAACAGCAGCAACAGCAGCAGCAGCAGCAGCAGCAGCAGTAACAGCAGTAGCAGTAGCAGTAACAGCAGCAGCAGCAGTAACAGCAGTAACAGCAGTAGCAGTAGCAGTAACAGCAGCAGCAGCAGCAGCAGCAGTAACAGCAGCAGCAGCAGCAGCAGCAGCAGCAGCAGCAGTAGCAGTAGCAGCAGCAGCAGCAGCAGCAGTAGCAGTAGCAGCAGCAGCAGCAGCAGCAGCAGCAGTAGCAGCAGCAGCAGCAGTAACAGCAGTAACAGCAGTAGCAGTAGCAGTAACAGCAGCAGCAGCAGCAGCAGCAGTAACAGCAGCAGCAGCAGCAGCAGCAGCAGCAGCAGTAACAGCAGTAGCAGTAGCAGTAGCAGTAACAGCAGCAGCAGCAGCAGCAGCAGTAAC